ATATGATTTATACATTTTATTTATTATTTTTTTTTTAAGTCTTTTTTTTTTTCAATCGGAGTGGATAGTTAATATTAGTCGAGTATTTCATTGCAATAACCCTGTAAAAGCTACCCTCCATTCTTGATTAATTTATTTTGTACGCTTAAGTTTGCCTGCTTACCCCACTGTGCAGCATAACAGGGTCAAACATAGTCGCCGCTGCCATGACAACAACGAGTCCTGTTTTTGGATTAGTTTTTTGTTTACGCCAAACAGTGCAGTCAGAGCAAAAGTTGTCAATAGAAGGGAGCACAAGCTAGAGACGTGAGCATGGCCAGAAGAGGCGTTCCAATCACAGATCTGGATCAGAGCGAACAGGAGCCAGAGCAGGAGCAGGAGAAGGCGCAGGAGCCGGAGCACTTGAGGCCAGCGACCCAGCCGAAAAGGCAGCGCAAAGTCTTACAAACGCTAACGGGAAACTTCAGTCGCAGATCGCGCAGCGTCGAGGTGGAGCACCGTCACCCGGCCGACGTGAGCGGCGGCAGTGCCAAGAAGAAGCAGCAGAGCCAGGAGCGCACGCTGAATGGATTGGTGAGTGAAAAGCAATCGAAGAAGTCCAAGTAATACCCCCTGACATATGCCTTGCAGCTGCAGGCCAAGGAGCAGCAACTGGAGCAGTTGCTCCAGCGTCTATCCACGCTGCACAAGTACAACGAGCAGTTCGCCAGGGAGAACGAGCGGCTGCGCGACCAGACCGAGCAGCTGGAGCAGCGTCTGGCCGCGGCAGAGCAGCGCGTGGCCAGCTGYGAGCGCTGCCAGCAGCTGCAGCAGCAGCAGAGCCAGCTGCTCCTGCAGAACCAGGAGCTGAGCAACGATGTGGACATGCTGAAGACCTTGGTCTTTCGACTGAATGTACAAATCGAATGCTATCAGGATCAGCGACGCATGGCGCAGCCGGAGGACGCGCCTCTGGCCAGCGCAGCCAACAGCTGCTCCCTGCCGCCATTCTCCGCCCAGCTGGGCAGGCACACCTTGGCGCCCTTGCTGCAGGCCTATGACGAGTCCTTGCGCGACAAGGATGCGCTGCTCAGCCAATACGCCGCCGACTTTGAGCTGTTCTCGAACGAGCTGAAGCGTGCGCTGGAGGAGAACACCAAGCTGCTGCAGGCGCAGGAGCAGCTGCGTCGCGACGTGGGCGGCTGGCAAGAGGAGCGAGTGCGTCTGCAGGCGCAGCTGAGCGTGTGCCGCAGCAAGGCCGAAACACAGACACGCAAAACGGATCTGGTCAAGGAGAAGCTGGTGGAGGTGATGCACTTCTACGAGCAGCGCAATCAGACGCTGCTCCTGGACATGAATCATCTGCAGGATGCCTATGCGCGCTGCAAAGCGGAGCTCGTTTCCCTGAAAAGTCCAGCCTCAGCTTCAGCGCCCGCTGCGCCTCCGCCTGTGGATACAAATGCTGCGGAGCTGCAGCAGTGCAAGGCGCTGCTGGAGCAGCTCAAGCAGGAGCACGCCAAGGAGCGCGCCGCCCTCGAGGCAGAGAAGCAGGCGAGCAGCACGCGCGTTGCCTCGCTCCAGCGCAGCTGCGAGAAGGCGAAGCATGCCAGAGATCGGCTGAAGGCTCGCCTACGCATGACATTACAGTGGGCACAGAAACTGGAGGCTGGGCAGGCAGAGCTGCGCGAGACCTATGATGCAGTGCAGCAGCTGTCGACGTTGCTGAAGCACAAGGAGTCGCAGCTGCGGGGCATGCAGCTGCGCAACAGCGAGGAGCTGGACAAGCTGCGGCACAAGCTCCAGCAGAAGGACGAGACCATTCGGAACCTGCTGCGCAGCAAGATGGAACGGAGACCCGCCGTGGACTAGCCGCAGCCAGCAGCCGGCAGCTGCAGCTGAAGCTAACAGAACACCGAGTTTAACAATTAAAAATATATAATTTCAATACAAAATACATTAATAACTTAAAGACTGTTGATTTGAAAGCTTTCGAAGCACAGCTGTGAACGAGGACCTGATTGCAGCATCAGTCGAGCGTGGTGCGGGTGTTGGAATCGGGGACCAACGCTTCGCAATCGTCGCCGCCGCTGCCACTGCCGCCGCCGGCACAGACGACGCACGCCTTGGGCACCGTCTGCTCTATGTACATGTTAATCTTCTCGAGCACCTCGGGGCAGACGGCGTGCATCAGCTGCTCGTAGCGGGCGGGGCCCAGCTGGGACTGCAACTGTTGCAGCTGCCATTTGAGGTATTCGGTTAGGGGTATCTTGTAAACGGGATCCTTGAGCACCAGCTGGCGATGCCTGTCGTCGTGGTAGGTCTTTGAATGGAAGTCATCGTACAGCTGCGGCTGGAATTCCTCCAGCTCGTGCTCGTCGTGTATGACCAGAGAATCGTAGAATCTCGGCGTTGCCTTGTCGGCGGCCTCATCTGCGGCCGCATATTGCTTGTCCATCACCTCGCCGAGCGTCTCCTCCACCAGCTGCAGGATGTGCGGCAATCGCGCCAGCAGCAGCTCGTTGTTTCCGAAAATCGAAGCGAACGCCAGGCAGAAGAGCTTCCTCTTCTCGGCATGCGTGTCGGCCACGAGGGGGAACATCTCTATCCACACATCCAGGATGCGCGCCAGGGCATCCGTCTGCGGCAGCTCCTGCACCACAGACATGAACACCGCCTGGTCGATGAGCAGGGTGCGCGCCAACAGAGTCAAGTACCAGCTCATGGTCATCGGGTATTCCTGCTTGAGGCACACCTGCTGGAAGATAAAGGGCAGGGCGGGTCGCACCAGCCGCAGGCCCATCGCGGCATCCGTCTTCAGGCAAGTCTCAAAGATGCGCAACATGGCGATGATGCCCTCCGTCCGTATATCCTCAAAGGAGCGCACGCAATACGCCACAAAGCCCTCGCCGTAGCGACTCAGATATGCCTGCAAAGGAAGCGCATGTAATTGGGATACTCTATGGACACTCTATAGGGACTATAAATTGATTTTACATGCGCATCGAGCAGTATGTAGGCGTGGATCAGCTGCAGCACTGTGCGCAGATTCTCCGAGGACATCTCAATGATGGGCAACAGATGATCGCACAGCCCCAGCAGCTCAGGCGTCAGCGCAGTCGAGTTGCCAATCACCGCCAGCCACAGCATGATGCCATCCTCTATCAGGTAGACGTGAGAACGTTGCTAAGCGGGAGAGCGAGAGAAGAGATGGCCATGGATTAGTCATGTAAATTAAATGCCATTAAAAGTAGCACAAGACTTGTTTATAATAATAAATAAATAATTAAACATAACAATTAGAATAAATAAATAAAATTATGTAATGCAATTTTAAGAATGCAAAAACAAATAAATTTAAAAAATGAATGAATAAACAAATTAAATTAAATGCATGATTTAATTTAATTATTAATATATATAAATGTTTAAAGAATCTATAAAAAAGTTAGTGAACCGGTTCACTATCAGTTCAGTTCATTTAAGAACTGTCAAATTCTAAACTTCGATTTGACAGTTTGAGTCGAGTGCAATTAAATTTATTAGAGAATTCGGATTAGGAGCTGGGACTGGAGAGTGTGAGCAAAAATGTTTACCTGCAAGTCGGTGCTCAGCTCGATGACGCTGTAGAGGAAGGGCTTCATGCTCTCGGGGACGTCGCGTATGGTTCGCACGAGCTGCTCCAGGGTGCCGATGATGGCGCACCGGAGCATATTGTACTCGTGCTCCTCGCTCTCACGCCAGAGCAGCGGCAAGTAGGCAATGAATTGCAGAGCCTGCGGCTCGATGAACTCGCTCATCTTCTCAACGAGCAGGGTCATCGTGCCCAGGACGACGATCTTCGTGTCGCAGGCGCCCGCCTCGCGCAGCAGAAGGAACAGCGCTTCGAACAAGGCGGCGAAGTACGGATGAAAGGCTTCGGGCATAAATTCAAAGTCGTCGATAAGCAGATTCAGGGTGCGGGCGGCGGCCAGGCGTATGGGCATGTCCTCCTCCGGTCGCAGCAGATGCAGGCACGCCTCGTAGGCCAGCGGGCGCAGCTCGCGGGGCAGCTGGACGCCCACCCAATTGCCCACCAGCCAAATGATGCGGCGGCGCAGGATGCGGAAATTCGAGGCCTCGATGCGCAGCTCGGCGAGCAGCTGCGAGGTCAGCCACGAGCCAAAGTCCAGTTTATTGAAGAAGTGAAACGAAGCCTGGCCGACCGCGTTGTAGATCGCGTCCTTCAGCAGGATGGCCTTCAGCTCGGAGTCCTGCGTCAGCTGCAGCTGCTGAGCGCGGCGCACGAACTTGAGGACCTCGTTGATCATGACATTCGAGTGTTGGGTGAAGCAGGTGAAGTACAGGGACTCGACGCAGGGACGCAGCTCGTATTTCCAGGCGTCGCCGCCGCCGTCATCCTGGCCATAGCTCTCCGGGTCCTGCTGCCACTCGGCCAGCTCCTCGGGAGTCAGCAGGAAATAGTGCGTGACGATTTTCTCGCACAAGTACGTGACACGTTCCACGCTGAAGAATTTGCTCTGCGTCTGGGACGCGGTCGCCAGCAGCTCGTCCTCCAGGGAGTTCGCCGTCTGGTCCTGGGCAATGCTATAGTTGCCGCTCATCATGATGCCCTTGAGCAGATTGATGGCTTGAATGACGAAGTGGCTGAAGTTGATCCGTTCGCCCGCATCGAAGATCAGTGCGGTGCCCTCGTGGAACACATAGTGGAAGCTGAACTCCAGTGCCACGGGCACAAACCGAGCAAAGGACAACGAGTGCCGATCCATGAACTCATTCAAGGTCTTCATCATCTTCAGGATGAAACGCTCCAGGTCATTGATCAGCTGCTCGTTTCCCGATGCGCGCAATCGCAGCTCGTAGCGCAGCTCCAGGCACTGGCGCAGTCGCTCGAACAGCTGCTCAATGAAGTTCATGTGGTCGCTGGACTTGTAGGGCTTGCTGCCGCAGCCGTAGACGAGCAGCTTCCGAAGCGTTCGCATCGCTATGTGGGCACGCTGCAGACAACTGTGTGCCGCCGGATCTGTCTTCTGCAGCTGCAGGAAGCGCGTAGTCAACGTCGCCCAAATGTTCCAGGCCATGTAGCTGAAGATTTGCGCCGACAGCTCCTCGAAGGCTCGCTTCTCGGCCATGAGGCGACGCGATGCCAGCGCCTTGATCACATAATGGAGCACGAGCAGGGTCCGCTGTTGCTGCACGGGCGACTCGCTGCACGCCTGCAACTGCTTCATCAGCGTAGGCATAAGCTCGGGCCAGCAGTCCATGCGGGCGATTTTGCTGAGCAGAACCGCCACCTGCAGCGCCACTTGGGGCACGTCCTCAGCGTCGTAGTGCTGCAGCAGGATCTCACGTATTTGCTGCTTCTGCTCCGGGGCCAGCTCCTGGCGGGAATTGTGACGCCAATAGCGTTCGATGCCATTTTTCAGATAAACGGCTGCCATCCAACGGATTTTCACTGAGTCGCTAAGCGTTGCAGCTGCAGCCGCAGAGGTGGCAGCAGCCGCTGCGTCACTGTCACCTTGCAGCTTCATGCTGAGGCGTGCCAGTATGGGAAAGAAGCCCGGCTGCTGCTCCCATTCGCTGAGCTGCGCCTCAGCCTTTTGCACAATTTCATGATTGGGATTGGCGGCACCCTGTAAGGCGGCTGCAACAAACTGCTCCGCAGTGGCCATGGCACACTCGCAAACACACACACGCACACCGAGAGAACAGTGGACAGTGGACAGACGAGTTGGGAGCCACCAAAAGTCGGCGTACGAACTTGTCTGATACTGGTTTGCAGCAAACTTCGTGAAAATTATTGACGAAAAATTACATCGCCATTCCGGCTGATGCGCTATTCAATTAGTGATGTTCAATCAAACATATCGATTGTCTACGATGAATTGTGCGTGAGTGTGAGCAATGTAATGAGTGCGTGAGCAGCGTACTAGATTTGAGAGCTAATGCATTGGACATGAAAATTATATGCATATTTTTAAAGAGATTTGTAAACATAATTGAATCAATAAAATTGTAAAAGGAGAAATATATAAAGAAAACTAAGTTGGCTATGATAACATCTACATATTACATCGTATCATATATATATTGATTCTGTTGTCTATTGAATCTTGTCCCCTAGCAACCAAGCCGATGCACTTTTCTTAAATGACTCATGTATAGGCTATATTTACTCTAGCAAAAACATAAATATTATTACAAATATTATGATACACAATATACCTCTCATGCATATCAGTAATAAGCATATGCACACCTCTTTGAGAACTTAGCGCCTTAACAGCATACCCTATACGATTCTTTACAGCATGAATTGTAACTATCGCCAGCTTGCCGATGTAGTTGGCAACGCGGCGCACACAACAGCTGACTGTTCGCTGGCAGCGCGATATCGATAGTTTATGTATTGGCAACGTAAACAGAATTTGATATCAGTTAATTTAATAGATAAGAAAAATTATATGCACAAAGCAAATTAAGTCATTTGCTACTCAATTGCTTAACCTAAAACATGCTGAAGGCAATTATATTGATTGGCGGCCCCCAAAAGGGCACTCGCTTCCGCCCACTGTCGCTGGATACTCCAAAACCGCTTTTCCCAGTAGCCGGACGCCCTCTGATTGCTCATCACATCGAAGCCTGTGTCCAGGTAAAGGAACTGCGCGAGATCCTCATCATTGGCTTCTACCCGCAGACTCAGATGGAAGGCTTTGTCAGCGACATGCAGGCGCTTTACAGCAGCAGCAATATAAACATCAGGTGAGCCACATATTCATATACCCTGTCGACTTTAGTAGGTGTGTAAATGTGGGGTATATTGATTTTGAAGAGCGGTATGTTATAAGCAATAGTTTAGAAAAAGAAGCAGAATTGCAGATAGTTATGAATATACCCTGTTATATTTGTAAGTGTTAGGTATGAAGTACGAATATTACTTTTATTATATTTACAAATTATATAGAGACAAATATCAGTACATAGTCTGCGTAAGATGTGTAACAAGAGGGTATAACAGTTTGCAGATATTGACAATAGATTAAGTTAAAGTATTTATTATATTGATTTATCAATAGTGAAAATAGGAGAATTCAAATGAGTTAAAATTCTTAATTTTCTAGTTAATTGTGTTAATTTTCTATTTGATACGAAGGTTACAGCAGATCATAGGCACTCTGGTTAGTGTCATAGGTCTAATATTGACTGTGACAATCGATTATCGATTACTATCAACACATTATTTGTATCGATAAATATCAAACCCCAGCCTATATTAGTTTGAATGTGGCGGACTGCCATTAGCTGTTGGAAGAACTTAATTTAATATCTCGAATTTAAATTTTACACAGTATTATTTTTGTTTCTGTATCACATTCTAGTTTCAATGAATATCAATTGAAATTAGATTATGATCTTAATTTTTATATCCACAGTTTGATTGTTAGCTTGCATAGAATCTTAGAAATGAAAACACTCCATAAAACGCTTAAGCTAGGGTATTTATTGCATTAGATAAGCACTTGATTGATGGTACATAAACTATTTCCATTGAAATTCTTGAAAGCATAAACAATCATAATGTAATGATATCTAGCGCCCATATATAGGGTATCTACGTAGCCCATCCCTGCTCTTAGCATACTGTGATGACGTGTTCCGTCTTTGCCATCTTTTAGGTATCTACAGGAGTTTACCTCGTTGGGCACGGCTGGCGGCATGTATCACTTCCGCGATCAGATACGGGCAGGCAATCCGCGCGCGTTCTTCGTGCTCAACGGCGACGTCTGTGCGGACTTTCCGCTGCAGGAGCTGTACAGCTTCCATATGGAGAGGCCGGCGAGCGCCTTGGTGACGATCATGAGCACGGAGGCGACGCGCCAGCAATCGCTCCACTACGGCTGTCTCGTCTTCGATCGTGCAAGTGGTGCCGTGTCGCATTATGTGGAGAAGCCCAGCTCCTATGTCTCCACGTACATCAATTGCGGCGTTTATGTCTGCTCGATGGACATCTTTACAAAGCTCGCGCAGATCTTCCATGCGAAGTGCGAGGAGTACAGCTGCATCAGCTACAGCAATGGCAATGGCAACGGCAACGGCAAGGATCATGGCCACATCAAGTGGGAGCAAGAGGTGCTCACTCCTCTAGCTGGCACCGACATGCTCTTCGCCATGCCGGTGCCCAATTGGTGGTCTCAGATGAAGACCGCCGGCTCGGCCATCTATGCCAATCGGCACTACCTCGATCTCTATAAGCGCACTCATCCCGAACGTCTCGCCAATGTGGGCAACAAGCGAGGCGAGGGCGATGGCAATCTGATTTGTACCGTCTATCCGGATGTCTATGTCCACCCGAGTGCTACGGTCCATCACTCGGCTGTGGTGAGTATACCCTAAATATGTTGTACAGCAAGAGGTAGATAGATATTGAAAGTATACCCTGTATAGGCATAACAATGAGCTCCACTTATCGGTACGATATATAGGTACGGGAATCAGTTCCTATTGTCGATGATAAATTCCAAATGTAGATCGATATATCTAGATACTCTGTATGCATTGTAAACTGATACACGTAAAAAATGCGGGATTAATCGATAGCTAATGCCATTTAAATGCAATTGAGAGACATGTTTGTTTATAGAAAGGGTTTTATCGGTGTTTTCTTAGCTTTCCAATGCACACTTCAATCCTATAACATTATAAATTTCATATGATATGTCTAATATCAATCAATTTTACTTTTTGTTATATAATTTGAACTTAACCTAAATAATGTTTATGGTAGTCGTCAATATAGGTAATGCAAGCTATCATTAAATTTTCGATGACTTATAGATGTTTAATTATTGTGCTTACACAAAGATAAATGCTTCTGCTTGAATGGCTATTTCTAATGGCTTCAGCTAGTCCTAGTCATGCGCATTCGCCTTAAGCTCTCGCAATTGTTCAAGCTCTAATTCTCCATTTTCTTTTAGCTCGGGCCCAATGTGGCCATAGGTCCTGGAGTCACGATTGGGCCTGGCGTGCGCATACGCGAATCCATTGTGCTGGAGCAGGCCCAGATCAAGGATCACACCCTCATCCTCCACTCGATTGTGGGGCGTGGCTGCACCATTGGCGCCTGGACTCGAGTCGAGGGCACGCCCAGCGATCCGGATCCAAATAAGCCATTTGCCAAAATGGAGAACCCGCCGTTGTTCAACAATGAAGGCAAACTGAATCCATCGATAACTATATTGGGTTTGTTTTCCGAACAAAATAAAATCTTCAGATACCGTTAACACTTAAAATTTCTTCTCTGCTCCACAGGCTGCTTTGTGCAGATACCCGCCGAAAAGATCCTGCTTAATAGCATTGTCCTGCCGCACAAGGAGCTCAGTCGAAGCTTTAAGAACGAAATTATTTTGTGAAAATCTTGTTGGATGCCTTTACTGTCTTGTTTCTTATTTATTTATATATGCAATACATATTATATATTATATATTTTATTGGTATGCTAATCGATCTTGGTGTTGTGCAATAATCCTTAAAACAAAACTTCGTATTTGCCATTTCATTAATTGTTTTATACGTTTCGCAACTACTTTACGGTATTGACACTTGTTTTAGACAGTGCTGCATAATAATTTAATAAAATAGTTGTATATTTTATAAACTGTGAGGAACTTCATTTCATTATTATTACATCTAGTAGAGATTAATTACATTAAAGACACGTTTGCATGTATAAACTAACTGTTTGTACGAGCTGATTTAAAATTGAAAAATAATTCGAATACGATACTCAATACATAATTAGATTACACGCAACGTGAAAAAATAATATCACCTATTAAAGTTACAGTAAGAATTTCAAAAGTACAGCATTTACTTTGAGTTTATTAAAAAAATATAAGTTCATATATACATATATATGTATATCTTTCCCATAGACCTACGATCATTAAATTTGTTAACGCAATTATTTTGGTATTTAATATCTATATTGAACTCATCAATTTTCTTTATATTTTTTTATTTTTATTTTGTAAATAGAA